TTACACAGAGAGAGAGAGAGAGCACAAACAGATGGAGTAGCAGGGTGGAGAGGGAGAAGCAGGCCCCTTGCTGAGCAGGGAGCCTGATGCAGGGCTGGATCCCAGGACCCTTTGATCATGACCTGAGCCGAAAGCAGATGCTTAATCGACTGAGCCACCTAGGCGCCCCTAGGAAAAGTTTAGAATGATAAGATTTTTGTGGTTCTCCTATTACTTTTTTTTGTTTTTTGAAGGTTTCTCTTAGAAGCAAATCACTGAAGGAAGCAGCATTGGTTTCATTTTTTTTCTGGCGGGGGGGAGTGGGGGTAATTTGTCATCTTCCAAAATTCAGTCATGTGTCCTTTTTACTTCCTTGTTGTGTATAATGCCTGCCTATGTGAACATTTTTATTTCCTTAAGAGGTTCCTCTGAGGGGGCCCTTCGGTAGGCCACGGGCCTTGGAGGATTTCAGGCTGTGGCCTTAGATAGTTCCTGTGCTCTCTGGCCACATGGGCCACCTGGTCACCTGGCCCTGCTCTTTCTGTCTTCCCCTCCCCACGGACCTCAGCTCCCATCCCTGGCTGAGGGATGCCAGCATTGCACACCAGCCACTACCCCTCTCCTATTATTTGATACAGATTTATTTTCTTTGGCTTGTTTTCATTAGTAGAAACCCCTGATTTTGGGAGGGAGCGCCCTACTAAAATACACAATACCGAAGGATTTCTGCAGTTCGGCATAGCCATTTGGCAAAGTTTGCGCGCCTCAGGGATATTTGCCTGTGCAGCTTGTTTTTCATTAGTGCTTGCTTTAAGGAAATTTTAAGGAAATTTTTAATATGGTCATAGCACAGTTCTTTGGCTTTGGGAAAATGCCATATCTCTTTCTCAAACATTTGTATTTTATTGGCTGATAGAATACTCTTAAAAAGTATATGCAAGCAGTTTTCAGGGAAAAATGAATCAGATGAATACTAACCTTTATCTGAAATGATTCATGTGGGTTTTTTTTCCCCATTTTGTCAGTATATAGAAGAATCTCTTTACAATTCTAAAGAATATATTTTTTCTTTTTTATTCTGATTATTTTGCATATTCATTTCTATTGATAACAGTCCACATCTCTATATATTTTTATGTCTTTAGTCCACTTGTTACTTTATTTTCCCATTATTTGCTATTTCTACCTTTTTTGCTATCATATGTAGTGCTGCTGGATAGATTTTTGAAGTTCATAATTTTTGAGGTGAGATTATATCTTTAGGATATGTACCCCAAACTGGAATCACTTTTTGGGTATGGTTTTAACGCAGTTGTGACACACTGCTCTGTAGTTTTGGAGACAAGGTATAGTTACAGTACCTACCTATATCCTGTTTCTTAGACACCTGCCAGTAGGGTCACTTTTTAAAAAATTTTTGTGTGTGTTTTTTTTTAATTTTACTTTTGTTATTAATGACATGCATGAAGTAATATGTTTTACTATTTATTCCTTTTTTTTTTTTTAAAGATTTTATTTATTTATTTGTTAGCAAGAGAGCACAAGCAGAGGGAAGGGCGCAGAGGTAGAGGGAGAAACAGGCTCCCCACTGAGCAAGGAGCCCGATGTGGGACTCGATCCCAGGACTCTGGGACTGTGACCCAAGCTGAAGGCAGATGCTCAACTGACTGAGCCACCCAGGCATCCCAATATTTGTTCTTAATAGCAATTTATTTTTTATGTTTTTCTATATTATTAATGATTTATTATCCTCAGTAATAATCTTTGTTTTATCAGGATGAATTAGAGATTTGACCTAACATGGATTTGACCTAACATGGATTTTATATAGCTAACTTCTTTGCTCTCACTTTATTTCATTGTGTGAATTTCTTTTTTTTAATGTTAAAAAAAAAATACTGCCCGGCTAGCTCAGTCAGTAGAGCATGAGACTCTTAATGTTAAAAAAAATATCCAGGGCGCCTGGGTGGCTCAGTTGGTTAAGCGACTGCCTTCGGCTCAGGTCATGATCCTGGAGTCC